TCTGCTAGCGCTGTGTAGATGTGCGTTCTGGTGGACGGCTGGGTGGTGCCAATGCCTTCCTCTCCAGGAGGGTGCACGGGGGTAAATGTTTTGCAGTTTTCTGTGAAGTTCTCAAACTGCACAGCAGTTTAAAAAAAAAAAAGGCAAAAATTAAAAACTAAAAACTTTTATAAACTGCAATAAGGGCAAGCGGTAGGGTTTTAAGCAAAAGAAAAGGGCATTTGATTTCGCAAGACTCGGAGGGTTTGGTTGACCCCAGATATTACATGAAGCTCCTAGGGACAGATGAGAGCTGGCTCTGGGCTGCGCAGAGCAGTTGACCCAGCGCTGGGGTGACAGCCAGCAAAGTCAGCCTAAGCCAGAAGGGACAGGGAGCAAGTGACAGCCTGTCCCTGCTGGTGACAGCCTTCTCCTGCGAAGCCCTCTGCTGCCACCAAGGGACCGGTCAGGGTGGATGGAGATGGCGTCAGGGATGTCCTCACCCACACTGTTGCATTTCGGGCACACAGAGGGCACTTGGAGTAAACGCTCAGAAGAGTATGAGCTCAAACCCACCCAACATGATAAGCCCAATACAGGTGCTAAATGTAAATACCAGACGTGTGTGGTGATATGCAATACTGATAACAAAAAAAGACAAAATGTTTTCTCTGCAGTGCTGCCCAGTGGTGGGGTGGCATCGAGCCCACATAGCTGCCAGACTCTTCCCCACAGGGTCTCAGCAAAGCTCCCGGCTATCCCACCACTGTCAGAAACATTCCAGTCCAGGCCCGTCTTTAGCTGCTTCTTTCACCAGTTATAGCAAAGAAGAGTTACTGGCCTGGACTGATGTCCTGCTCTCAAAATCTTGTTGCAATAGGTCACATTTTAATTGTCATGTTAAGAGAAGGTTACAAAAGTCACAGGATCACTGAACAGTAGGGGTTGGAAGGGACCTTCAGAGATCATCGACTCCAACCCCCCTGCCAAAGCAGTCACCTACAGCAGTTGCGCAGGACAGCATCCAGGCAGGTTTTGAATATCTCCAGAGAAGGAGACCCCACAGCCTCTCTGGGCAGCCTGTGCCAATGCTCTGCCACCCTCACGCGAGAGAAGTTTTTCCTCATGCTGAAATGGAATTTCCCATGTTCCAGTTTGTGCCCATTGCCTCTTGTCCTGTCGCTGGGCACCACTGGAAAGAGTCTGGCCCCATCCCCTTGCCACCCACCCTTTAGATATTGATCAGCATTGATGAGATCCCCTCTCAGCCTTCTCTTCTCCAGGCTGAACAGCCCCAGGGCTCTCAGCCTTTCCTCACCAGAGAGATGCTCCAGTCCCCTGAGCATCTTCGTACCCTCCACTGGACTCTCTCCAGCAGTTCCCTGTCCTTCTTGACCTGGGGAGCGCAGAACTGGACACAGTGCTCCAGATGCAGCCTCCCCAGGGCAGAGTCAAGGGGGAGGATGACCTCCCTCCACCTGCTTGCTGGCCATGCTCTTTTTAACACACCCCAGGATAGCATTGGCCTTCTTGGCCACAAGGGCACGTTGCTGGCTCATGGGCAACTTGTTGTCCACCAGGACTCCCAGGTCCCTCTCTGCAGAGCTGAAAGTCCTGACTGCAGTAACTGTGTTCATCCTTACCAGAGAAGCAGATGCCTCCTGGATGTCAGCCATACCTTCTCGGGGCAGTCTCTGAGAGGTGCATGCCTCTCCACTGCCTGTAACAGGAGTATAAACAACTAGCTCAGGGGAACAATGCTGTAGGCATTGAATACCATGTCAGGCACATGTAATGCCATCTGAGCTTGCTTGTTCTTTCGAAATGCAGGTTTGTTTCAATACTTACAAACACAGCCCTGCTCATCACACGCCACCCAGGAACTGCTGTGCTGCATGGTACTGCCTGGGCAGAGGGGGCTTCCTGCTTCTCAGGTGGGACTAGAGCCAAGAAATATGGCAAAGCCATAGTTGAAATGCTCTGTTTTGGTAGCAAGATCTCAGAATACAGAGCAACAGTGTGATTTAGGTTGGTGGACAACTGGCTCACACCTGAAGGCTTAAGATAATTTGTTCTGTGTGAGTGTTAAATGGTGATCATTATTAGTGCATACAGAAATAGAGGCTACAACGGCATAGCCACAGTGAAAAAGCAAAACACTTCCATCACCTCCAGCACTGTGGAGGCAGCCCTTGGAACCTGGTGCGACCTTACAGACACCACCATCTCACATCAATCCCTCTGACACGTCTGCCAAGGTATCTGTTTGTAGGACACGCCTTCTCTCAACACACTAAGCTGACTTCACTGTCTGTGCACCAACGAAGCACGCACATCACCAACATGCGACATTTTGCACTAACATGCCAAATAAAACTCCATCACCTGCTTAAAAATGTACATGCACATTTCTCTTCTTTGACAATTGTCCCTTATACTCATCAGGTAGATTTATGAGGGCATGCGGAAGCAGGTTCGACACGTGTCCTTTTGCTGGTAGATCAGGGCTTGCATCTTGCAGATATTATAATGAGGGAAAATCAACATTTCTGTGGAATTTTAAGGCAATAAAAGAAAAAAATGCAAACACAGTGATGAACAAAGTGAATTTCTTAAGAAAAGCCCTCAACTGAAAAGAAAATAGTTAAGTGTACCTTTCAGAGGAAATAAAAATCCCAATACCTGTAATTGGGATTATAATACAATATAAAAATAAACAATATATTAATATAGTAATATACAATAATTTATTGTTATTCTCATAATTAATAATATTATATACATATATTATTATAGTAAGCATTTCCCTGCATCAATAGGCACCTGAACAATCAGGAAGTTCAAGTGAGTATTTGCAGATTCCATTATGTTCGTAGCTTGCACGATCCCAGTAACACATTAACTTTCGCCAGAACTCTGCCAGTCCTCTGAGCAATGTGTTCCAGTTAATTTGGTCTGCTGTGAATCAAATCCTGTTAAATAAACAGAGTGGATCCATTTCATCTCATTTCACATTTCTAAAAGGAAAATATTCACATTCTGCATTTTCCTGAGAGCTGAGAAAAAGGTATTATAAGTGCAAAACTGACTAAGGGCAAAACTAAGGGTGAAACACCACCACCACTTTTGCCCCACTTCTCTAAAAAGTTGATGTAATTTTGCATAACTTGAGATATTTGTGATTTGACTTTTCTGGGTCACTGTTATTCCACACCATTTAATGTTCACAATAGCTCCCACTGAGTGTAGTTACCTCTCAAGCACCACTGGATATCTGACACCTGAGGCCTTAATTAGGCACTGAGGAAATGATTTTTGTGTCTAAAAGGAGACCCTCACAGTTAGGTTGCATACACCTCTGAAAGTAAGGACTTGCCTTCAGTCACAAAGCTCCTGCCACAGGCAGATGTATGCCTCACTCATGAAATGGGGAAAGCAGGGACATCTAGACCCAGCCCTGCAACAGCTCAACCTCCTTGTGCCTTAACAGGATGTGCCACCAGACCCCCACAACCAGTGCACACAGACAGTGCACAAACACACACCCACACACACTTTCCTGCACTTCTGCACACTCGCTGTCACCCCTAAACAATATTCTTCTCACTTATGAGCTACTTGCGTAACAGAAGGAAGCAAGAGGAGCTCTTCATGGAGAAACGAAACAGCACTGCCAGGCAATTCTGACAGCAAAGGCTTTCTCAGAGAGTCCTGTCAAGGGCACTGGACACCGTGCAGTACTCCTGTGCGTGGTCACTGCTCACCAGCAGTGGAAACCTCCTGCCTCTGGGGAAGGCAAGAGGCAGCTTTGCTCATAGAGCTGATCAACATTCAGGAGAATATGTCCATGGAGAAACATCCTGGCAGGCCAGATGAACACTGGAAGAAGAGAAGACTGACAATGACAGAATCCATGGACACACACATTTTCACAGCACAGACATACTGCCAGCAAGGAGAGCCTGAACAGCATCCGCACCACCACCCCGGGCACGTGGCGCTGTGTCTGAACCCACCTCACAGGCTGACAGGGGATGCTCTGTGCCCGCTATCACAAACACTAGATGACCCAGAACAGAATCACAGAATCATTTAGGTGGGAAAAGACCCTTAAGATCATTGAGTCTAGCCGCAACCTGGGCTCGCCTCGGTCCCTAGACAGGACAATATACGCTTGTGAAATCAGCACGTGCTTCACCCACACCAAACACTGCACCCGCTTCCTCCGCAATGGAGGGGGTGCTCACACTCCCCACACCGGACAGGAACCCCCAGGCAAAAAACACACCTGCAGAGGGTCTGGGGATCCCACACTGCCCAGGGGTACTCACACTGTAACCTTCCCCAGGCCAGGAACGCTTAGTTTAATTAGGCACTCTGATTACACTTCAGCTACAATCAACAGCAACAGTTGCACCCTTAACCCATTCACTGTGAATACACACAGTCCGCTTTTCCGATGTGTGCAACACCCATAAAAACATCAATAAGCTCTTCAGAGGCAAAGTCCCCTCAGTATTTGGGTCAGGGAGTGGTATTTTTAATTTCTTAAATCATTTGAACATGCCTTTTGTACAGTCAGACAACCCTTCTTGCTGTGAAGGTCGTCACACCACCTGCATGGAAGGGGTAATCCATTTAACAAAGATTAAAGAGCACAAATGGTGACAGAACAGCTGGAAAGCCTGCAGTGCTGAGGAACAGGAGCACAGTGACAGCCACCAAAGTGAGAAGCGATGCTTTTCAAACCGCAGGGACCTAACCGCAAGGAAGACATACAACGGAGAAAGGAAAGTAGGAGATAAACAGCTTGAGGCAGCATTAAGTAATATCGCAAAACCAAGAAATCTAGTAATTTATTTCTTAAGACTATACCTCCATGTACAAATCACATTTGCCACAGATAAGCAGGGTGATTAAGGTATACATAGAACAACTTATTAATCCACATTAAAAATGTGTGAGAACATTTTGGATAATTTATGACCAGGTGAAACTGGGCAGGTGGAAAGAGGAAACGCATGCGGACCATCCGCAGCGGTATCCCGACAGTGCCATGGGTCGGTCTGTCCAACGGCCAAGAGAAACCCCTCCACTCGCGATGCCACCCACGACGTGCTGAAGGCAAAACACGGCCCTACCCACCATCGAGGCAAAACTCCTTCTGGCAGCGCCGGGGCTTCCCTCAACCCTCCCCTCCATTTGCTAGGCGTACTCCTGTCCCTGCAGGGCCCGGCTGCCCGGGTCCCACTCACCAGCTGGTTGGAAGACGGCACAAAAATGATTGTAAAGAACCTTTGTCTGTGATTTTGAGTTCCTTTCAGCCCCGTTTCCCTGGCACACAAAGGGCAGCTGTTAGCGCCCGCTCTGAGGGGAGGCCGATTTCTTCTCCTCCTCCTCCTCCTCCTGACAGAGCCAAACCTCCCCAGACCCCTCCCGTGCCCCCTGGCCAGGGCCGAGGGTCGCAGCGCTGCAGGTTACCGCGGAGCCGCGTCCCCCGCACCCGACGAAGGTCCTGCGGGCCTGACGGACC